GGGTATTCATTTTGATGCAATTGTAAATGGAATATTTAAAAATTTTTCTCTTACAGTTTCTTGTTAGTATATAGGAATCCAACAGATTTCTGTGTATTAATTTTGTATCCTTCAACTTTGCTGAATCCCGTTATTCTAATAGTTTTTTGGTGGGGTCTTTAGGGTTTTCTGTATATAACATAGTATCATGTTATTTGCAAATAGTGACAGTTTACTTCTTTCTTATCAATTTGGATGCCTTTTATCTCTTTGTAGTTTTATGATTGCCATGGCTAGGACCTCCAGTACTATGTTGAATAAAAGTGGTGAGAGTGGATATCCTTATCCTTGTTGCTGATCTTAGAGGAAAAGCTTTCAGCTTTTTGCTACTGAGTATGATATTAGCTGTAGGTTTGTAATACATGGCCTTTGTTACATTGAGGTATGTTCCTCTGTACCCATTTTGTTGAGAGTTTTTGTCATGAATGCATGTTGAATTTTTTCAAATGCTTTTTCAGCATCTATTGAGATCATATAGTTTTTATCCACTTTTTTGTTAATGTGGTCACACTGATTGATTTATAGATACTGTACCATCCTCACATCCCTTGAATAAATCCCACTTGGTCGTGATGGATGATCCTTTCTGTGAATTTTTTAATTTGGTTTGCTAATATTTTGTTGAGGATTCTTGTATATATATGTTCATCAGGCATCTTGGTTTGTAATTTTCTTTTTTTGTAGTGTCTTTGGTTTTGGTATTGTGATTCTGGCCTCATAGAATGAGTTTGAAAGTATTCCCTCATCTACATTTTGGAATATGTTAAAAATAATTGGCATTAATTCTTTTTTAAATGTTTGGTAGAATTGAGCTGTGAAGCCATCTGGTTCTGGTATTTTGTTTGTTGGGAGTTTTTTTGATTGCCAGTTCAATTTTGTTACTGGTAATTGGACTACTCAGATTTTCTGTTCCTCCTGGTTCTTGGAATGTTGTACTTTTTTAGGAATTTGTCCATTTCTTCTATGTTACAGTTTTTTGGCATATAATATTTCATAGAATTCTCTAACAACTCTGTATTTTTGTTGTATTCATTGTGATTATTCTTTTTTCATTTCTGACTGTCCTCTCTCTTTTTCTTGATAAGTCTGGCTGGGGGTTTGTGTATTTTGTTTGTCTTCTCAAAGAACCAGCTTTTGTTCTCATTGATTTTTTTTCTATTTTATTCTCTATTTTATTGATTTCTTCTCTGATCTTTCTTATGTCCCTCCTTATACTAACTGGGTTTCATTTGTTCTTTTTTTTCTTGTTTCTTTAGTTGTGAGTTTAGACTCTTTATGTGGGCTTGTTCTTTTTTCTTGAGGTAAGCCTGTATTGCTATGTACTTCCCTCTTAGAACCGCTTTTGCAGCATCGCACATATTTTGAACTGTTGTATTTTTTTTTTCATTTTTCTTCATTTATTGCTTGATTTCTTCTTTGATCCATTGATTATTTAGAAGCATGTTATTTAGCCTCCATGTATTTGTGGATTTTTTGTGTAGTTTTAGTTTCATACCATTGTGAACTGAGATGCCTGATAAAATTTTAATCTTTTTAAATTTATTAAGGCTCTTTTTGTGTCCTAATATGTGATCTCTTCTGGAGAATGATCCATGTGTACTTGAGAAAAATATGTATCATGATGCTTTTGGATGGAATGTTCCATATACAACTGTTAAGTACATCTGATCTAGTGTGTTTTTCAGTGCCTCTGTTTCCTTATTTTCTGTCAGGTTGACCTGTCCATTGATGTAAGTAGGGTGTTAAAGTCCCTTAATATGATTGAATTGCAATCTATTTCTCCCTTTAGTTCTGTTAGTGTTTGTTTTACATATTTAGGTACTCCTATGTTGGGTGCATGGATATGTATAATTGTATTCTCTTGTTGGACTGATCCCTTTATCATTATGTAATGTCCTTCTTTGTCTCTTGTTACTTTCTTTCTTCTGAAGTCTGTTTTGTCTGATATAAGTACTGCTATTCCTGCTTTTCTCTCCCTATTATTTGTATGAAATATCTTTTTCCATCCCTCCATTTTCAGCCTGTATATGGCCCAGGTCTGAAATGAGTCTCTTGTAGGCAGCATATACATTGATCTTGTGCCTTTATTTTTGCTACCCTATGTGTTTTGATTGGTGCATTCAGTCTATTTACATTTAAGGTAGTCATTGATAGGTATGTACTTATTTCCATTTTGTTCATTGTTTTCTGGTTGTTTTTATAGTTCCTCTCTGTTCCTTTTTTCCTCTCTTATATTCTTCACTTGTTATCTGATAGTTTTCTTTAGTGTTTTTATTGGATATCTTTTTTTGAATTTTTTGTATCTCTATTATAGCTTCAGGTTTGTGGTTACCATAAGGTTCTTAGTTTCCTAAGTGTGATAGTCTATATCAAAGTTGATGATCACTCCATTTTGAACACACTCTAGAAGTACCTCTTTAAAGTTTTTCTTCCTCCTCCACACTTATTAGATATCATAATCTGCATTTTTTGTGTATCCCTTGACTGATTTTGTGAATAGTTGATTTTACTTCTTTGGGTTTTTTTTTTTTTCTTTTTTAAAATCTATACTTAGTCATTGGTCTCCTACCATTTCTGTGAGTTTATTTTCACTGATGAAAAATATTTAGGCTTAAGAACATTTCTCTCTTCAAAAGTCCCTTCAGCATACCCTGTGGAATTAGTCTAATGGTTGTGAATTCTTTTAACTTTATCTGGGAAACTTTTAATCTCTCCTTCAATTCTGAGTGATAACCTTGCTGGGTAGAGAATTCTTGGTTGAAAGGTCTTCTGTTTCAATACATTAAATATTTCATGCCACTCCCTTCTGGCCTCTAAGTTTCTGCTAATAAATCTGCTGATAGCCTTATGTGGTTTCCTTTATAGGTAACTGTCTTCCTCATTCTTGCTGCTTTCAGTATTCTCTCTCTATCTTTAATATTTGCTATTTTAATTACTATATGTCTTGGCATTATCTTCCTGGGGTTCCTTTTGTTAGGGACTGTCTGTGCTTCCAGGAAGTGGCTGTCTATTTCCTTACCCAACCTAGGGAAGTTTTCAGCAATTATTTCTTCAAAGAGACTTTTTCTACTTATTTTTCTCTCTCTTCTCCTTCTGGTACACCTATTATGTGAATATTGTTTTGATTGGAATTGTCACACAGCTCTTTTAGCACCCCCTCATTTTTAGAGATTATTGTTTCTCTTGATTCCTTAACTTCATTGTTGTCCTCTTCTCTAATTCCATCTCATTGATTGTGTCCTCTATTTGCAGCAATCTATTATTCATTCTCTTGCATTTTTCATTTGAGTTAATATATTCTTCAGCTCTGAGTGGCTCGTTTTCAAATTTTCTGACTCTTCGTTGAAGTTCTCACTGAGATCATCAATTCTTTTCTGCATGTCTGAGGATATGTTTGTTGCGTTGGAATCTTTTTCAAGAAGATTGGTGATCTCTGTTTCATTTAGCCCTCTTTCTGATGTCTTATCCTGTTCTGTTTGGAACATATTTCTCTGCCTCCTCATTTTGTTGTGTTTCTGTGTTTCTTCCTTTGTGTTAGATCCACAATGCTTCCTGGTCTAGAATGTAATGGCTTCATGAAGTGGGTGTCCTGTATTGCCCAGAAGCTAAAGACCTTGCTCACCAGTGTCTGGTTCTCCTTTGCAGTGGAGCTGCAGTTGCTCTTGGTGGGCAGTGGCTGGTCAGTCAACAGTGGCTGACAGCTCCCTCTGTGCCCCTTGTGAGCGCTGTGGAGGTTCTGCAATGAATGTTGTGGGCAGGGCTTCCATCTGCCTGCAGGGCAGCAATGGCAGCAGGGCTGAGCCCCCAGTGAGGAAGAAGGAGCTTTTGGAACTGGCCCCTGCCGGCACCTTTGCAGTTGGGCTGAGAGAGGGCCAGGAAAACTGGGAAGGCCTCCCTCTTCCTACCAGGCAGCAAAGTCTTACCACTACTGGGCAAAGTGAGCAGGTGGGCAGCCTGTGCAGGGAAACACCTTGGGGCTGAGCCATCAGCAAAGGGGATGGAATATTTGGGCCTGACTCCTGCAAGCACCTGACCACTTGGTCTGAGGGAGGGCTGAGGAAGCATCATCCATCTGCCCTTTCTCCTCCCTCCAACCACTCCTCTAACACTCTTCCCATTGCTGGTAAATTGTTCAAACTGCCACCTCTGTGTTGAGTCTCAGCAGGACCAACAAGTGCCTGTCCTCCACAAGTGACAGGAGTCTGAGCCTCTCCAAGTACTCCAGCTCTCTGTGGTGTCCAGCCCTGTTAATCACCAAAGCCCAGTACAATGTGGATTCATGTTCCCAGAGCAGATCCAGGGCCAGGTGTGCAGGATTCCTGAGTGCTTATCCCCTCCCCACTCCATTTCTCTTCCTTCTGCTTATGGACTGGGGAAGGGCTTGGGTCCTGCTCGATCACAGTTCTGCCACTTTACCCTTCTCTGTGTGGTCTTCTCATCTTCACCAGGTGTAGATGGTCTGTTCTGCAGTCTTGAGGTTGTTTTCAGGGTTAGTTGTATTTTCTGTAGCTGGTACCTTGGTTTGTGTGTAGGAGGAGGTTTCCACCTTGCCTTCCTACTCCATCTTTTCCTAAGCTCCCCCCTAAGAAGCCTAGATGTCACTTTGTTTCTTAACCTCTCAATTTCTTTCATAAGTAGGAGATACATACCTTGGCACACTTGTGTGAATAGAAAAAAGGTAAATGTTTAGCACACTAGAGTTAGTAATACATAAAGAGTAGCAGTGATTATTATCCAAGGACTCAGGAGTGTTGTCAGGAAAAGTCTTGGCCTCCATCTTATTGCTACTCTTACAACCTTACCTTATTTGCTCATTACAGCCTGTAGAAGCATAAATGTATTTTGAAAAAGCCTTTTCATGTTTGGAAAGTTGAGCTTTCTAAATCTGCTTTAGAAAACTGATACCTGATGTACATACAGTAGTGTAATATGTGTCTCATCAGTGCTTTTGTTTATCCCAGGTGAAAGAAAAGATGTTGTCCCGGTTAAGAATAGCTGCCACTCCCTGTACACTGGTATGTCGTTATCTGCACACAAAAGAGAAGGGCAAGCCACTTATGTTAAACCCAAGAACAAATAAGGTTAGTAAAATTAAAACTAACACATTTTTTTTCTTTCTGGTAAGTATTTGATACATATTTGAACTGTTAAAAATATTAAATTTTTGTATTTTGTAGCTTTACACTAAAACTATTCAGAAATATTTGCTTTTTCTGCATGAACTTTTCAGTTTTCTGTACAGGGCAAGAATTATGGCTTCTTTATATCTGCCAAATTTCACCCCTCACAGCTTCTGTCACCAGAAAAGGATTGACTTTATTTCCTACTTCTAGCTCAAAAAAAATTCCTCAGAATAGCCGGCCGGGTAGAACTTTTGGCCAGATGTGGAATATTTAGATTTACCTAGCTCACATCAGGTACTCATCCTCCAATCAGATGAGCCCTTGGAAGATGGGATCAAAATTGTGAAATAAAATTTTATCTAACCTCCACCCCATCTTCACCCAGCTTTTGGACACACATCATTGCACACAAATGATTTTTCCCATTAAGCATACTATTGCTTCAAAGGAGAGAGACCTCTGACCCTTTTTACACTGTTATGTGCAGAAGTGATGGGCAAAATTAAAAACTAGTCTTGCCTTTATTCTTTATGCACACTTTATTACTTATGCATAGTGGGCCGATCCCTGACTCTTTTTTAGTGGCAATGTTAAATAGTAAGTAAGCATAATTCTGGAAAGATTTCTTACAAGAAGCTTGTGAGATGATACATTGGGTTTATTATAATATGTGCAATTTATCTTTTGAGAAAGGTGCATTCAGATTACGGTATGATACATTTTAAAACAACAGTCATCACAGATTTATCATTCCCATTTGTTTCCCATTATGAGTGGGAAATAATTGTATAGTATGATATGTTTTGAGGAGTTTCAGGACTATGAAGGGAAATTTGACCAAGGATCACAAAGAAAGCCTCATCTTGTTGATTTGTGGTACCTATCACCTAAAGAGCATTCAGCAGGCAGTTAGTGAATTAAATGAAGCTTAATGAAGGATATTCGAATCCTCTCTTGTTTTTGCCTCACCTCCCCAAATCTTGCTTGCTCTTTAAGATGCAACCCATTCAAAATCCAGTTCTTGGATATAGCCTTTTCATACCACCATAGACTGGGATAATTGCTCTCTTCTCTGAAACCCTGTAGCAGTTTAATCTTCCTGTTCATATGGCAAATAATATGTGTGGCTCTGTACTCCTTTTCATGTCTTAAGCTGTCATTGAAATCACTGATAGTATTTACATTTCATGAATTATATGATTAACTATTTCAGGTTCCTTTTGGGCAGGGATCATTCAAATTTCTTTGTTTCTTATACAATGCCACAGGTTTAGTAAACATTTGTTAAATGTTAGTTTTATATTTATCCTCATAGAAACTGCTTAAAATCTATCTTGGAGGGGGTCTCAAGAAATTTATAAAATATGTTAAGTGGCAAATTAATATTAAGGAGAAGGATAAGCTAAAATGCATTACAGTATTTCCGTAAAGAAAATAAATTCTAATGCTTTGGTCTTCTGGAATCTCTAAGGTTGGATAGCATCTGTACACCTCATTGAAGGACCACTTCTGGAAATCCCTTAAGCATCAGGAAGAGTTTTTCTGTCATGTTTGTTTAAGGAGGAATATAGAGTAGTGACTCCCAACTTGAGAGTCGTGAACTCCTTGGGGACTTACCATGTAAAGAAATCAGGTTGTGCTTTAGACATTATAGACTAACAATTTTTTGCATATTTATAAATACTGTTTTAAATGTATGTTGCTGCCGTAATTCATAAAAGTGATTAAAGGTAGTACTAAAATATTAATCTTTAATTGTATGTCTGTTATCACTATTGAAGTTGTATACCTGTTGTTATATCTGTAAAACTTTTATATTGCAGTAAACATAATGCACAATTTATCATTCTGACCATTTATTTATTTTTGCAATAAAAGAGCATAATCTTGGAACATAAAGACCATCCTAAACATGCATCAAATATAGGAACCCGTAAAGAAAAAGATTATTAAAATGTCTTGGTAACAATTCAATGCCTCTGTACAGGGTAAATGATCACAAAATTAAAAGACAACAAAGAAAGGAGAAAAAAATTGTAAAATATAAAACAAAGGGCTTAGATGTAAAATATTAAAAGTTTCTACAAATCCATTTTTTTATTGAAGTATAGTTGATATACAATTTTATATTGGTTTCAAGTATACAGTACAGTGGTTTCAACAGTTACCCATTATTAAATCCTCACCCCCACTAGTGTATTTACTATCTATTAACATCTGAAAGATGTTACAGAACCATTGACTATATTCTCTATGCTGAATTTCCATCTACCTGACCAACTTATATTATGATTGAGATTTTTAATGCCCCTTACCCCCTTACCCACCCACCTCAACCCCTCCCCCACAGTAACTACCAGTCACTTCTCAGTGCCTCTGACTCTACTGCTGTTTTGTTCATTTTATTTTGTTTTGTTTTTAGATTCCACAAATAAGTGAAATCCTATGGTATTTGTCTTTCTCCACCTGGCTTATTTCACTTAGCATACTACCCTCTAGGTCCATCCATGTTGTCTCAAATGAAAGGATTTCTTTCTCTTTTATGGCTTAATAATCCATCATGTAAAGGTACCATTTCTTCTTTATCCATTCATCTATTGATGAACACTTTGGTTGCTTCCATATCTTGGCTATTGTAAATAATGTGGTGATAAACATAGGAGTGCATATGTCTTTTTGAATCCGGGAATTTGTTTTCTTCTGGTAAATTCCTAGAAGTGGAGTTACTGGAACAAATGGTATTTCTATTTTTAGTGTTTTGAAGAACCGGCCTACAGCTTTCCAGAGTGGCCATGCCAATTTACATTCCCACCAGCAGTGTAAGAGGGCTCCCTTTTCTCCACGTCCTTACCAACACTTGTTATTTCTTGTCTTTTGGATGTTGGCCATCCTAACTTATGTGAGGTGATATGTCATTGTGGTTTTGATTTGTATTTCCCCAGTAAGTGATGTGGAGCATCTTTTCATGTGCCTGTTGGCCCTCTGTATTTCTTCTTTGGAAAAATGTTCAGGTCCTCTGCCCATTTTTTGTTAGGATTGTTTGTTTTTTGGGATATTGAGGAACATATGAGTTCTTTATATATTTTGGATATTAACCCCTTATTAGATAAATCATTCACAAATATATTCTCCATACTGTGTGGGATGGTGATGGTAGTTTTGTTGTTGTTGATGGTGTTCTTTGCTGTACAGAAGCTTTTAGTTTGATATAGTCCCACTTGTTCATTTTTTATTTTGTTTCCCTTGCCCTGGGAGACGTGTCCAGAAAAAAAATTGCTCATGCTTCTGTTCAAGAAATTTTTGCTTGTTTCCCTCTAAGAGTTTTATGGTTTCATGTCTTAAATTTAGGTCTTTAATCCATTTTTAGTTTAGTTTTGTATTTGGGGTCAGATGGTAATCTAGTCTCATTCTCTTGCATGTAGTTGTCCAGTTTTCCCAACACCACTTATTGAAGAGACTGTCTTTACCCAATTGTATATTCAGGGCTCCTTTATAATATATTAATTGGCCATATATGTGTGGGCTCATATCTGGACTTGCTATTCTATTGATTTGTGGGTCTGTTCTTGAGTTTTGATTACTATAGTTTGTAGTAGCACTTGAAGTCAGTAAACATAATAAATACCCCCAGCTTTGTTCTTCTTTCTCAAGATTGCTTTGGCTATTTGGGGTCTTTTGTGGTTCCATATGATCTTTAGGATTATTTGCTCTAGTTCATTTAAAAATGCTGTTGGTATTTTGATAGAGATTGCATTTAATCTGTAAATTGCTTTGGGCAGGATGACCCTTTTGACAATATTAATTCTTCCTATCTATGAGTATGGGGTAGATTTCCATTTATTTGTGTCTTTAATTTCTCTCATGAGTGTCCTGTAGCTTTCAGAGTATAAGTCTTTCACCTCCTTGGTTAGGTTTATTCCTAGGTATTTTATTCTTTTTGAAGCAGTTGTAAATGGAATTGTTTTCCTGATTAATGAACTTTCTGCTAGTTCATTGTTAGTATATAGGAATGCAACAGATTTCTGTATATTAATTTTGTATCCTGCAACTTTGCTAAATTCAGATTATTAATTCTAGTAGTTTCGGAGTGGATTCCTCAGGGTTTTTTATGTCCAAGATCATGTCATCTGTAAACAGTGACAGTTTAACTTGTTCCTTGTTGATCTGGATGCCTTTTTATTTCTTTGTGTTGTCTGATTGCCATGGCTAGGACCTCCAGTACTATGCTGAATTAAAGTGGTGAGAGTGGACATCCTTGTCTTGTTCCCAATCTTAAAGGAAAAACTTTCAGTTTTTCACCAACTCAGTATGATGTTAGCTGTGGGTTTGTCACATATGGCCTTTATTATGTTGAGGTATGTTCCCTCTATACCCATTTTGTTGAGAGTCTTTATCATGATTGCATGTTGAATTTTGTCAAATGCTTTTTCAGCACAACTTTAACCATTTGAAAGTGTATAATTCATTGATACTCAGTATATTCAGTGTTGTGCATCTACCACCGTTGTGTAGTTCTAGAACCTCTCATTGCCCAGAATGGAGGCCCAGTACCCAGTAAGCAGTCACTTCCCTATCCTCTTCCCTTTCTCAGCCCCTGACAACCACTAATCAATTTTTTTGTTCCTATGGATTTACCTGTTCTGGTATAAATATGAAATTCTTAATGAAAAGTTTTTAACATTCTTATTCTTGAAAGAATTGAACATCATTATGCTAGATCATGAGCATTAGATACTAATTTGCACTCTGCCATTTACCAGCCATGAAACTTCCATACATAATTTAACTAGACCTCAGTTTTCTCACTTAAATAATTTAGGTAATATGCCATATTGAAACATTCAAAGGGCTGTACAAGTTTAAAGTTGGATCTCCTTTTCTCCTCACATTCATTTAACTAACTTTTTAAATAACTTCTTGAAGCTCAACTCTACATACTTTCCCCTAAGAAGTTTTCACTTCCTAATTTGTTATCTGGAGCTCTGGTTTTATAGTTCTTAGTTCTACAGTGGTTTTATTTTTATTTTAAATTTCCCTGGCTAGTTCTGTAATTAGTTAACTAATTCAAACGTTTTTGTGATCCTTATTATTTATACAAATAATGCTATGATGAGTAAAAGTAAAAATATCACATTCCTACCTCCCCAATATATCTATTTTAATTTTACCATGATCCCCTTAGCAGCGTATCTACTTTTAAGGTTGTAATATACAATTTTCATATGCCATTTTACCATTGAGAAAAGTATATTCTAAATAATCTTAATGATGCTTCATAAGCCTTATGATATATGGCTGCATAGTAATTTAGTAGGTAGATTTGAAATCACAGAGACTGAGAGTCCCAGCTTGACCCCTTAATGACTGTGTAATCTTCAAAATATAATTTTCCTTATAATTTCTTCTTTGACCAGTTGGTTCTTTAGGATTGTGTTGTTTAATATCCAAATACTTGTAAATTCCCCAAATTTCCTTTTACAATTGATTTCTCGTCTCATTGTATTATGGTTGGAGATCATACTTGAGATGATTTAAATCCTTTTAATTGTATTGAGACTTGTTTTATGGCCTAATATGTGCTCTTCACTGGAGAATATTCCATGTGTATTTGAGAAGCATGATATCCTGCTGCTTTTGAGTGTTGTGCTCTGTAGGTGTCTGTTAGGTTTAGTTGCTAAATGATGTTGTTCAAGTCTTAATTTCCATGTGGACTTTTTAGTCTGGTTGTTTTCTCCATTATTCAACATGTGATATTGAAGTATCTAACTTGATGAGTTGTCTTTTTCCCTTGAGTTTGGTCAGTTTTGCTTCATGTGTTCTGGGTCTCTTTTGTTAGATGTATACAGGTATCTATGTTTATACTTAATACAATGTCTTCTTAACCTGTTACCCTTTCATTATTATAAAATGTCCTTTCTAGTAACAGTGTTTGTTTTAAAGTCTGTTTTTATTTTTTATTAACTAATACAGCCACTCCAGTTCTTTTTTGATTACTTTTACATGGCGTATCTTTTTCCATCCTTTTACTTTCCACCTTTTTGTGTCTTTGAATCAAAGAATCTTTTATAGACAGCATATAATTGTATCATGTCATTTTTTTCATCCTATCAATCCCTGCCTTTTAACTGTAGAGTTTAATCCATTTTATGATAAGATACAATTTGAGTCTGCAGTTTTGCTGTTTTCTAGACGTCTTGTGCCTTTTTTGTGCCTCTACTCCTCCATTGTTCACTTCCTTTGTATTAAGTATTTTCTAGTACACCATTTTAATTGCCTTGTTATTTCTTTTACTGCCTGTTTCTGAGTTACGTGCTTAGTGGCTTTCCCTGGGAATTACAAATGCCATCTTTATAACAATGCAGTTCAGATTGATAGCAACTTAATTTCAATAGTACCCAAAAGCTTTTCTCCTGTATGTCTCTATCCCTGCTTTTGTCCTGCTTTATCACACAAATTACATGTTTATACATTATGTGACCATTAGCAGATTTATAATTATTGTTTTATGTGTTTGTCTTTTAAATCAAGCAGGAAAAAAACTACAAACAAAAAGTACATTTATATTGCCTTATTTCTTCCTATGTAGTTATTTTACCCATGGTTTTATTTCTTTGTGTAGATTTGAGTTACTGTGTAGTGTCTTTCCATTTCAGCCTTAAGGACTCCCCTTTGGTATTTCTGTGGGACAGGTTTACGAGCAATGAATTCTCTGTTTTTGTTTATTTGGAAATGTTTTAATTTCTCCTTCATTTTTGAAGGATAGTTTTTCAAGATTTAGAAATTCTTGATTGACAGGGTTTTTTTCCTTTTAGCACTTGGAATATGTCATCCCACTGCCTTATGCGCTCCATGGTTTCTTATAAGAAATTAGCTGTTAATCTTTTTGAGAGTTCCCCTGTACATGAACTCTGCTTTTGAATTTCTCCTTTTGTCTATGGCTTCCCACAGTTTGAATGTGGTATATCTTGGTGTGGCTCTCTTTGAGTTTTTCCTAATTGGAGCTGTTGAGCTTCTAGAATATGTGAGTAAATGTTTGAGAAGTTTTTTGGCAATTATTTCTTCAAATATTCTTCTGTCCTTTCTGTCCTGTCCTTGCTTTCTGGAACTGCTGTTATGCCTATCTTGGCACTCCTGGTGGTGTCCCACAGGTCTCTGGGGCTCTCATTATATTCATTGTTTTTCTTTCTCTTTCACAGACTGTATAATCTCTGTTGATCTATCTTTAGGTTTGCTGGTCCTTTCTTCCACCTGCTGAAATCCGCTGTTGAGCCCCTCTAGTGAATTTTTATTTCAGTTATTGTACTTTCGACCTCAGAATTTATCTTTGGTTCTTTCTCACAGTTTCTATCTCCTTATTAATATTCTGTAATTAGTAGGATATCTCTTACTTTATGTTAGTTCTTTATATATGGTGTCCTTTAGTTCTTTGAATATATTTAAAGTAACTAATTTGAAATCTTTGTTTAGTAAGTATGATGTTTGAGCTTCCTCAGGAACAGTTTCCATTAACTGCTGTTTTTCCTGTTTTTGAGCCATAGTTAATCTTTCTACTTGCCTCATAAATGTTGTTGCTAACTGAACATTTTAAATAATACAGATGCTCTGGAAATTAGATGCTCCCCCCAGGGATTGTTGCTGTTGTTTATTTAGGATATTTATGAACTAATTTTTTTTAAATGAGGTATAATTGAACTAATTATTTAGTCTTTATTCTTGTTATATATGCTCAGCAAAGTCTGTGCTTTGTTAGCTTAGTGTTCTGCTAATGATTAGACAGGGACTTAAATACTTAGAACCAGTATTTCCCCCACTCTCTGCCAAGAGGTTCTCTGTATGTACTGGGGCATGCTTTCATACTCAGCAAAGCAGTTTACAACTACACATCAGCCTTCATTTCCTGCTTACACAGAGCCTCATGTTAGCCAAAGGTGAGAGCTTAGGGCCTTCTCAAGTCTTTCCTGGACTTGCCTATAGCTTCTAGATTCTCAGGAATATTCTTTTTCAGTGCATAGCTCCCACCCCCATGGACATCAGGTTCCTCAATTTTTCCTTTTCAGCTTTTTGGTTTGCCTGTTGTTTGCTTCGGCTGTTATCCACTGCCTTAGGCAGCTGCCATGTTAAATAATTGCCTCATTATTTTCAGCAGGCTTTTCTGGGAGAAAGGCTGGTCTTTCACATTGGTAAGCTCCATGTCAGGTCAAATAAAGACAGCCTTGCAAGTGGGGACTTCCAGGGAGCCACCAGACAGATAAAATAATGACAGTTCCCTGGGTATGGGGCTTTAGAAGAATCTCCAGCCCTTTTTGCCCTCTCCAGTGACTGCCCAGCTCTGATTTCCAAAGTGATTGTTTCACTGATTGCTGTTTTCAAGGTTGCTGTGGAGCTGATAAAGGGAGAATAGGAATAAGCCAAGTTAAAATGCCATGAAGCTTGCTGTTCTTACCAAAATTCAGCTTTTTGTCTTGAATAAATGCCCCCTGATTACTGAAGCCTTTAGTTAGTTTTCAGAATTCTGAAAAAGTTGGTTCTGATCATTTGGCCAGTGTTCTTGTTGTGTTTATGGAGGAAAATATTTTTGGAAGTTCGAAACTCACATTTTCACTGATACCATTTGATTCAAATAATTTAACCCACAACTGAATACCAAATTGGAAAAAATTTTCTTAACGATATAGGTTAATTTTTTCTTTAATGTTATTTCTTGCTTCCCCTTCCTCTGCTCAGCCTTACTGCTTTCTAGCAGAGGTAGTCACTTTTAAAAGTTTAGTTTATGTTCTTTCAAACTGTATTCTGTTGATTATATTTCTAGTGTATGTATGCATGCATCTGTATATAATATGTACTTTATGGGGGTTTTCTAAACAAAATTAACAAGTGAGTGTGTTTTGATTTGCAACTTGCTTTTTTTCCCTCAACTTTGTGTCTGGGAGAACTTTCCATTTTACATACTTAGAGATATATGTTTAACTGTGTGATGTTTCATGATACTGGAAATACCATGGTTCCCTAACTGTTCCATAATTGATGGGCTTTTAGTTAGTTTGTAATAGCCAAGAAACTAGAAAGAGTGTCACAACCAACCTCTTTGTATGTGCCTCTTTATTCTGTGTATGAATTTCTCTAGGATGGCTATCTAGAAGTAGAATTGCTTTATTTTAGAATATGCACCTTAAAATACTGAAGAATACTTTAAAATTGTCTTCTAAGAAGCCTAAACCTGTTTACATTTCCAGCAATAGTATGTGAGAGTAACACTTTTATGACATCCTCACATTACTAGATAAGATCAATTTTATGAATTTTTGACAGTCTGGGCAAAAATGGTATCTTACTGATTTTTTAAAACATTTACATTTAAATCACATTTTCTAGGATAATACTATTGCTACCCCAGTAATAATAATATTTAATCCTTTTCTCCTTTTAGGGAATGGCATTTACATTGCAGGAGCGACAAATGCTTGGTCTTCAAGGACTTCTACCTCCTAAAATAGAGACACAAGATATTCAAGCCTTACGATTCCACAGAAACATAAAAAAAATGAATGGCCCTTTGGAAAAGTAAGTGTTGATTGTTGATTAGATATTTAGTGTTTTACGGATGTTCTGATCAGAAAAATTGGGAGTGTTATGGTTATTATGGAATGTGAAATATATAGTCTCACAGGAAGTTTGTATTTTACTCATTTAACTGTTGTTTTTATGATTATGTTTTCTTCACTTCAGCGAGTGCTTCATGTGTGGTCACTGTTTAGAATTTAGCAGAAGTAAATTTTTTATGCTTAAAATCAGAGCATTTCAGGTTTGAATGAATGAAATGGCAGAAGTAAAGGCTGTTATCTAACTTACAACATTCTGTTCAACAGCCTGTATTGATCATCTGCTTTACGTGTAATACTATATTAGCCACTGAAATATATCATCCAATCCAAGAAACTTTGGGGAATAAAAAAGGAGTAACTGCAGCTGTCCCGGGCACACTAGAATGTATAGCCACCCCAGTAAAGCACCCCCCTGCCTCCTAGGGGCTCATCAATAGATTCTCACACTGCGACTGTCTCTGGACTCCATACTATAGTGTGTGGGACAGTGAGAACAAGGTACATGCAGAGTGTACTCTGAAAGCACGAAGAGTGGCTCCTTGCCCAACTTAAGGAATCAGTTAAAGTTTGCTGGAACCAAGTTTTAAATGATGTGTTATGGGCAGCAGGCAAAATGAGAAAGAAGGGCAAGGTATTCTGGGTACAGGGATCAGTCTGAATACAGGATTAAAAATATCTGTTGGGTTGGTTAAGTATAGGAGATAATGGGTGACTGGAGAGAATGGTTTCTTTGATTTGATGGGGCCAGAAAAACACTGCAATTGACTGAGAAATGAATGGGAGAGGAGGAAAAGCAGGCTCTTTCAAGAAGTTTAGGGAGGAGGAGGAAGAAAGATACTGAACAGTAAGTAAAGCAGGACTTGACTTTAAGGGGGCACATTTCAGGCAATAAGGAAATTTAATGTCTGCAGCTGTGAGGAATGAGCCCAGGAGAAAGGATACTGAGAGAACAGAATCACAGAGAAAGGAAAAGGGCATGGATCAAGTACAGAGGTAGACACTGGACTCGAACAAGAAAAAAGAACAGCTCATTCTTTGAGGCAAGAGCAAAGGTAAGTACAGGTATTAATAAAGATAAACTTTGCTGGTGATGGAAGATCTCCTCATACTTGATGACCTTGATTTTCCATGTGATGTAGAATATGAAGGTCTTAGCTAAGATTTAGAAGGGCCAAGGTTGAATAGAATTGGTGAAGAATGATAAGTGTTTGGAAGAGCCGTTTAGCCATAAGGTGAAGCTGAACAAGGACAAGCTAAAGGGGTAAGTGTGGGCCCAGAAGGCTTAGTGGCATCATCTTGTTCCTATTAATGCCATTCTGCCCAGCAATGTTATTTTTCTACAGAAAAGGTGAGTTGTAACATTAATTCAGGTTTGGGGTTTGTTGGACAGGCAAAGATGCTGCAAAAATTCATTCAGTTAATGTTCATTTAGGGCTGTTACATGCCAGACATGTTCAAAGCTCTGAAACTACAAAAATGAAGAGTTCTGCCCCTTGCCTTCAGGGAGTTCACTGGTGGAAAAGGTAGGCCCTGGAAGGAGGTGGCAGTGATGTAGTGTTCTTGAAGGGTGAGGTTGGTTCAGAGTGAGACACCTGAGCGTGGGATCCACAGTGGGGAAGGCGAGGAGCCAGAAGGGAGCTAATTGGATGGGAGGAAGTGAACTTATCGATCCCCTGAAGCACCAGGAAGCAACCGCATGTGTAGCCAAAGGGTAGAGGGTTCAGACTGGGGAGTGAAACACTGGCTTCAGGATTCCAGAGCTGGAACAACCCTAGGTGAGAACAGCAAGGCACTGCAAGGTGCTTGGAAGAGTGACCTGAGTGGAGCAAAGGTGAGCGTGATGACAGCGAGGAGGCTCAGGAATCACATGGCTTCCCTCTTTCATGCCTGATGGGTCATCTGCTCTTTCCTTAGCATTTCTGCTGTCTACCTCCCAAAGCTGTTCCATCTCAGGAGCCCAGTTGTTAGTTTTCTTCTTATAACTAAGGAGAAATCTCCTTCTCTTTTATTTCTATCTATACATACTAGTTCTGTGTGTGGTAGCTATATAGAAAATTTTATTCTTCTAAATGGAATCACTTGTCCTCATTTGTTCATTCATCAAATATTTGCACACACATTATATTCCATGTACTTTGCTAGTTCCTAGAAATACAGAGGTATTTAAGGCGAGAATCCCTAACCTATGATATCATCTACACTGGAGGGAAGGCAGAAAGTCAAGAGGTGGAGTGAGAATTACAGAAGAGGGAGCAGGGTGTCATGGGACCTGAAAACAGGGAACTCTAACGTGTGTGTCTGTGTGGTGGGGGAGGAGAGCAGGCAGAAGAGGACCCGGGGACCGTGCCACCTGAGCTGCATTGAGAGAGCATGGATATTGGACTGTGCCTGAATAGAGGGGGTTCCAGACAGAGGGTATGTCATGTACCAACACCAAGTTAGAGTTGTGGTGCATTTAAGGAGCTGAAGTAAGTTCAGTATGAAGGTAAAGCTGGAGTGTAGGCAGAGGTCTAGCTTAAGTCTGTTTATCTGGTGTTAGGAAGCCATTTGGGATAGTAGAAATGATCAGTTATATTTTTAAGGGAAGAAGAGATGGAGCAGGGGAGCAACATAGTGTGTATAAGGCTGAGTCAGGAAGTTCATGAGGTGGCCCAGGTGAGCAATGAGGGTGGCCTGGATGGGGGTGGGGGAAGGAAATAGATGGATTCAAATAGAAGTAAGGTACTTAGCAGGTAGACTCTGTAGGACTTGTCAAGTCATTAGATTGGGGTAGGGTTGGGTGGGAGAGAGGAAATCAAGAATGGGATCTGCAGTTTGTCAGGTGATAATAGGAGGAGAAGCAAGTTTGGATGAAAACTGCTGAGTCTGTCTTAGCCATATTTAATTCAAGGTGTTTACTGGTTTTTCAAGCTAACATTTCTCTGTTTTCTCAACTTTATTCTTTAAAAGCCATTACTTGTGTATATGAATTGACCATTGCCTTTGTGCGACATCTGTGCTCTTTTATTTTGCCTCCATTTTTATGTTGGTCACCTTGAAGATAACAGTTGACTTGAACAGCATGGATTTGAACTATGCAGGTCCACTGTTATACAGATGTTTTTCAATAAATATAGTGGAAAATTTTTTGGACACTTGCAATAATTTGAAAAAATTTTTTCTCTAGCTTATTTTATTGTAAAAATACTGTGTATAATACATATAAAATATAGAAAGTATGGGTTAATCAAATGTTTATGTTATAAGGCTTCTTGTCAACAGTAGGCTATTAATAGTTAAGTGTTTGGGAAGTCAAAAGTTATTCGTGGATTTTCAGCTGCACACCGGCTGATGCCTCTAACCTCCTGTCAGTTTGTTCAAGAGCCAGCTCTAGTTCCTTCAGGGTGGGGTGGGGAGCTTCCTGGTAATGCTTCCAGTGCCTGGCACAGAGCCTGACTTACAGTAAGGGCTCACTCAATGAATGTTAGCTGTTTTTTGTTTTATTTGCTTTATCATTATCATCTACCATTTAAGTACATTTTTATTTCTGTTACGTTTTAGTCTTGGGTGTTAAATAATAATACAGGGTTTTGTTTTCTGGCAGGGTTGAGGGGAAGGGGGGTTTGCCCTAAATATTAGATGTTTAGATTTAACTTTCAAATGCCAAAACTTTGAACATAATGCTGGCTGATTTAGACATTATTCACTGTGCTTAATTTCAGATACATCTATATAATGGGAATACAAGAAAGAAATGAGAAATTGTTTTATAGAATCCTACAAGATGACATCGAAAGTCTGATGCCAATTGTATATACACCAACAGTTGGTCTTGCCTGCTCCCAATATGGACATATCTTTAGACGACCTAAGTAAGGCTTATTTTTAAAAATGTATTTGTAAAAGAGTATTGTGTAGGAAAAATAGCACTGTGTAACACCTGTTACATTTCTATTTTATGTGTTGCAGTCTTACCTTAACCACATTTGCCCCCTCACGAAAGCTTAATCTGGATAAAAAGGGGTTAGTAAAAATCCAACATGTTAATATCTTTCATTTTTATAGAAATAATATTATTCGTTCCTTATCTTATTAGAGGAATTGTGCATTTGTGTACCCAAGAAAAGGTACTCTTAATTCTCGTGGCAGATTCTCCAGAATTACTGTTAAAGTTTTTGACAATCTGACCAAAACTAATAGATTGATTCTCATTTTCTGTCCACTTCAATTTCTCTTCTTTTTTCTTTTTTATGAACTTCCACAAATTTTAATTTCAAATATTTCTAGCACTGCCATATTTTAAGTGGAAAGAGTAATGAAATGGGCACTGACTTAAGTCCTCGAGTGAGTGATTTTATCCCTGTGAATCTGTTTTCTCATAAGATAAGGCTACCTGGACCAATCAAAGAGCACTGAGAAGGTCAGATGAGGAAACTGATGTGACAGACTTTGTAAATTTATAAACATTATGTAAATGCTATTTTTACTTCGAGTTTTCTTGTCTTGTTCTTGTAAACTATTATCATTTTCGTCAATCCTTATATGTCTTTTCCATGTCCTGCTTACATATTGAAACGGATATAGAAATTCAAACAACATGTAATAGCATTATCTTCAACCTCCCCTCATCTGTGTAGCAGCTTTCAAACTTTAGTTTACATACTAAACACCTGTGGAATTTACTTAAAATATTGATCCCTGCCAACTTTGCTGTCCTTCCTATTCCCACGATTCTGATGAAAAAGATAAAGGTCTGGAGGTCTGGATTGTAATGAGCACCGTCAGTGATGGGGTTGTGGGTGTTCCCTGGAGAAGACGCTTTGACAACACTGTTCTGTCCTGTGTGCTGCTATCAATTGGTGTGTCTTAAACATTTCTTATGTTTAGCCCAGCGGTTGCTCTCATATACTCATTCACTTGGAATAGTGGTTCTCAATCCCGATTAAAGGACAAAGAGAAACTTCAGAGTATACTGATGCCTGGGCTCCACGCCCAGAGATTCTGATTCAGTTAGTCTAGAGATGAGCCCAAGAGCTGGTGTTTCATTAAAGTTCCTGGTATGGTTCTGATGTGTACCCAGAGTTCAGAACTGACATGAAATGAAAAAGAACATGGCTTTTTGTTGAAGACAGATACTGTGTATCATTTATTCAGGGTCCCAGAAAAGCTTCTGGTTGGTGAATTGATCTGAGCTCTAGCAGGACAGTTACATCAGAATCTCTAGGGGTGGGACCCCGGCATTTTGAAAGCTCATCAGATAATTCTACAATGCTGCTGTGGTTGAGAAACTATTAAACTGATATGATCTAGGATAGTAAGGCCAAAGTAAAAATCAGTTTGAAGGCACTGGGGACCTGTTAGCCCTCACCTCTGCCTCACCTATTTTCTAGAACCTGTGTTTCTTTCCCCACCCCTCCTTCCCTTCCTCTTTCTTTTTAAAAAATCTGTATTAACTCTCTCAGTTGGATAACAATATACTGTGTGTTTAAAATAACTTTTCACTTTTTCCTAGTGCTTCAAGGATATCCTCTCTTATGTGAAATTACTATAGTTTACTTGTCTCCCTTCCTGTTCCTTCAGATTTCAAATTTTTAGTTTAAGTGAATGTTAACAGTTTACTTAGCCTTCTGCTCTCCTGCATCAGGGGTTGATTTGTATATTCCTTTCACTGGGGGTGTATTGAGTTATTTGAATGTGAGATGTAGATACATCTGTTCTTGGGTAAAACGATCACATCATTTAATAATCTTTGTTGCAGCCTATGTGAGCAATCAGTTAGAATTTGAAGTAGTTGAAAATGTTTGAAAATAAGCCAGTAGGCTTGGAATCTGCTTGGAAATTATACCATGTCTTGATGTTTTATTAAAATACCTAAATATTCCAATTATGAACAAAAACTTAGAAAAAACAAAAACTGTTATGAAATGCAAAGGTGTTTTTGTTCTATTGCAGGGGATTATTTATTTCAATCTCAGACAGAGGTCATGTTAGATCAATTGTGGATAACTGGCCAGAAAATCATGTTAAGGTACTAATTAGCACAACCTTCCTTTTCGCATTTTTTTTTCATTGTAAGTTATCTAAATTTCCAAGAACAGTTTTTCATTGTTGCTCTGATTTATTTTGCACTTATATACATGTAGATTTACTGTTCTGAGGAAATCATGGTAGTAATACTTACAAATGGGTTAGTGGTATAGAGTTTGACTCTGGGAAAGAAATGGGAGCTAGCACAGTGAGCCTCCTCATTATCAATACTGGTGTCTCCTGCCCTCTCTGTATTCCTTTTGTATTTCAGTTAATAATCAAGTAGAGAAAATACATTAAAATGCCATTAAAACTTTTATTCTGATGAGTGGTAAGAGGACCTATTATGTATGTTTTCTTTTAAATCTATGATAGATTTAGGTCCTTAAGCAAATATAAAACTCTTAGTCTCAATGTTACAAATATAAACCTTGGTCAATCTGGCTGTTTTTATAAAATCTAACAGCTTATTTAAGGTCTTTTAGTAGACTTTAGTGTTTATTACAGGCAGTAATCTTATTTGCCTTTATTACACATGTCTTCTAACCAAAATAGTATTTGATAATGATTAATTCTAATAATCTACAAGAAATTGGGTCAGATAGTTAAATTCTCTTTATCATCTTAAAAACCTTATAGGTAGGTATATTTTTTTAATTTTAAGTCTTTTTTTCTTTCACTATTGTTAAGGTTTTTCTTGTTTGGCCTAAGTTATTATATTGGGTAGCATGTTATTTTTTTCTAAACTCTTATTTTTCTTTTATATTTTGTCTCTATCAGACAAAATAGATTGCTTGCTTCTCCCCTGTTTAGTCATTGTGAAGATATTTAAGTTGATCCCCCAGTCAGAAGCAGTCCATCTAAACTAAAGATAAAGGGAAATCAAATCTAGTTAATTCACTTTTATACATCTAGATTCTAGAATTCCTATAATTCTAAGTGTGCTTCGTTGGTTTACTTTGAAAGTTAATCCCCAAAAAAATCTGTTTTTAAAAGTGAGAGTGAAAATATATGAAGAAAATCCTTTTTAAAATTGCTTTTCTGTTTGACAACTTTTAATTTCTTTTATTTTTGTAATTAAGGCTGTTGTGGTGACTGATGGAGAGAGAATTCTGGGTCTTGGCGATTTGGGTGTCTATGGAATGGGAATTCCAGTAGGAAAGCTTTGTTTGTACACAGCTTGTGCAGGAATACGGCCTGATCGATGCCTGCCTGTGTGTATTGATGTAGGAACTGATAATACAGTGAGTAAAATCACTTTCCCCCTTTGATCCTCCTCCTGTATTTTAAAAGATATATTTTATTACGTTCCCTTTTGAATATAATACAAAAAGGAACATTTTGTGTTTAGATGTTAGTCTTTGTCTTAAACTCCACTTTCAATATTTGTGTAAATAATAAATAGTAAAATAAGCCTATTGAAAGTTTCTTAAGGAAGGGCAATAAGGCTTAAAAGGCTATATTAGCGATTTTTTTATTCTGCAATTTTTGTTTTATAGAATGTATTTAAACTGTTTTGTTTAATTGGGTTTTACATTTGGTCTATTTTATAGGCACTCTTAAAAGATCCATTTTACATGGGCTTATATCAGAAAAGAGATCGATCACAGCGTTATGATGATCTGATTGATGAGTTTATGAAAGCCATTACTGACAGGTATTTTTTAGAAGTATGAGTGTATAAAAGCATCTTTTAAAAAAAAAGGAACCACAGTCTCATTTTGTTTGCTTTTCTCTCTTGTGAAGATAGGTAAGAGATTAGATTTTTGCCTGATTAGAGGTGCTGGGATGTGGTGATACCCTTTATATACTCTGCCTTGCTTTGCTGAGTTGTCTGACACCTTGAGGGAAGTCTGCATGAGTCAATCCTCAGATCCTGTCGGACTACCATTTAAATGCCTCAGAAATGTATCTCCTCTATTGCCACAGCCTTTCTGCAGAGGCTCATCTCCCTTCTGGATTCTTCTAAACCTTCCTCCAGTTTCTCTCCTCTGCATTTCACTTCCACCTTACCACCAGATTAGTCTTTTAAAGCATGTACTTACTATGTCATTCTTTTGGTTGAAATCAGTTGTTTCCTATTGTCATAGGATAAGGTCCAAACTCTTTACGATCTAGCCCTGCACTACCTTATGAATTACTGGGACTTAGAATACATGAAAAACTAATTCCTTTTCAAAGTTGACGTATCCAGAACTAAACTTTCCATCCTCCCAGAGATTGCCATCTTTCCTCTGCCCCTCACTTCCCTCCTTTGGACAATCAGCTAGTGTCTTCTTAGTCATCCTGGTTGCCTTGACATTTTAACATCTCTCCCCTTACTTCCCAGTTGGTCCTTGTCTCGATTCTTTTTTTTCATTCTAGTGTCTCATGATTATCCCTTTCACTTCTGGCAGCTTCTGCTTCAGATCTTCTTGTCCACATGTCATAGTCACCTCCTAGCTGCTTCTCCTGTCTTTCTCATCTCTCCCCACACCAGTATGTGCTACACATCATGCATAGGTTTATCCTTCCTAACGGAGTCGTACATGAACTCTTCCCTTTCTCAGAACAGAATAAAGTCCCCATTCCCTAATTTTGCATTCAAGGTTCTCCCTTATCTGGTCCCAGTATACTTTACCAATTTCTTCCTTATATAAACTCTAAACTATATAGCCAAACTTTTGAAAATCCAGGGTCACAAAAGCACACCTTTTCTTCCTACCTCTTTACTTTGTGTTCTTTCAGGACCCAGATAAAGTCCCGTTTCCTTTTCAAGCTTTCCCTTCCCCTAACTCACCAGGATCATTGATGTCTTTTTCTGAATGCCAGTGAACTTACATAGCAACTACTTTTTAACCTCTTTATTTAATATATGACTCTTCTGTGTTGCTGTTTCACTGCTACTGTAAGAGAATATACATATCAAATACGTACTTTTTGAGACTTGGAGACAAAATCTTTCTTTTTAGGAAGCCATTTCATGCTTAAATATGCTGGGCACCCTCCTAGCCAATTGGCAAGATTTTATACAGATGAATATCCCATATCTAACATTCCCATTGTCAGAAATACAGGCCTTTGCCATGGTATACATTCATTTTAAGCACCCCATATGAACTTTTCTGAATGAGTAATACATTTCTACATTTTCACTATAGTCTTTCATAGTCTCTAATTGACAGATGTCCTTAAGTGAAATAACAATACATTATTTTAAAATGTGATTATAAGGAACATTGGGAAAGCTGTTTAATGATATTTTCCACACAATCATGGGTTTTGCTATTTTAGATATGGACAGAACACACTTATTCAGTTTGAAGACTTTGGAAATCATAATGCATTCAGATTCTTGAGAAAATACCGAGAAAAATATTGTACCTTCAATGATGATATTCAAGGTAAAGAAAAAAGCAAATCTTAGGGTTTTGATTCCTACTTTTAAAAATCTACTTTAATGTGCCCATGTTTTATTTTTTTTTAATCTTTATTTTCTTGTAGGAACAGCTGCAGTAGCTCTGGCTGGTCTTCTCGCAGCACAGAAAGTTATGGGTAAACTGATCTCAGAACACAAAATTTTATTTCTTGGAGCAGGAGAGGTAAGTTTTTGTAAACTTTTAGAACCTGAAACCAACACTGTCCTTTAGAATCGGAAAATGGGATATAATGAACTTGGTATTTTTGTTGAGATACAGGATATGAATTCAACCTCTCCATTGTAGTAATTTAAAATATGTTTAGAGAGAATATCACAAAGAATCGAACTTGTGTGATTTGTGAGGGAAGAATAAGCCAAATACTCTTCATAACATATAATCTTCATATGTATTGAAGTAATTCAAGCATTGTAACCTACTCTAATCTTTTCTATTTAATTTTTGTTACGTTGGACAGGCTGCTCTTGGAATTGCAAATCTTATAGTAATGGCTATGGTAGAAAATGGCCTCTCAGAAGAAGAGGCACAAAAGAAAATTTGGATGGTTGACAAGTTTGGTTTATTATTTAAGGTAAGGTACTTAAAACTTAGAGAAGCAAAAGAATGTTGCTATAATATTTTAGGTCTGAATTTTTAAATATTATAAAATCTTATATTTCACTAGACTATCCAAAGTGTATGAGTTGGGGACTCATTCTGTATATTCTTAACAGAAATCCTCCCATCTCAAACTTTTGTCTTTTATAAAAACGCTTTCTTCATATTCAAGTCACAATCTCTTATGTTGGTACCAGACTTGTTCTTTCTTGATTTGTGTCTTCTCATTCTTAAGGGATCGCATAACCATACAATAGTATTGTACTTGACACTTCCAAAGTTAGGTTTTAATGGGAACTCAAAAGTTTCTAATTAAATTGTTAGCAAGACATCTGATATTTGAGCAGAAATTCTTTAACCCTTTAGAAATCATAATCCCCTGTAGCAATCTAATAGAAATCTATAGACCCATTCCCTAGGAAAGATACATATTCCTGAAGCCAATTCATGGGTAATAAAGAGCTGCTGACCCAGATTAATTTATATCTTTTGGACTTGCCTGCCTTCTTAGCATTGATTGCCATTTTTAGTAGTTTAAGAAATGCCTTGTATCTTGTACTGTGTAACACTGAAGTATAAGTAAATTGTTTTTTAGTTGAACTTCTCCAGTACACAATGCTGTTGTATTTTTACAGTATATGACACAGCAGTTACTTGTTACTGATTTCTTTGGAGCAAGCTTATCTCAGTTTGTTCCAGTTCTGAAATCTTAATTAATTAGTGTCAGTGTTCTATTAGTATGAGAAATTAGTGTGTGAATGAAGATTGAGTAAATGACACATAATTATAAATTATGATTAAAATGTAGTTTAAAATGTACCAGACATTGTGATAAAATTTTACATGTATTATTTCATTTAATCTTCTCAAAAATCTGCAAAATTATACAAATGTTGAAAATTGAAGTTTGAAAAGGTCAAGTGACTTTTCCAAGGTCATCCATCATCAGCTTATGAGTGATGGAGGTAAGATTCCCATCCAGGTAGCCTAACTGAAGTCTGTGTTCTGTTAACCATTTATCTGCACTGCCCCCCCAGTGAGCTATAACTGCTGTATTTGCTTTTATATAACATTCAAGGATTATAGGACATTGTACTTTTAGAAAACTATTGGGGGAATATGTTTTTACTGATACAAAATTAGTTTGGCATTTCTTTTTTTGTGATACTGGTTTTCACAAATGTTCTGTGATTTTTTATCTTATTTGTAACAAGTCAGATCTAGAATGAGTAAGGTATCGGTTAACACAGTTGAGAATCCCTGTTCATTGGCAAGTTCAGAGTAAACTTTTCTTTGAGGATGTGTAAATAGCTTGACCTATAGGTATCAGGCTTCCAGTCTCTCCTGGTGACCCACAACGCTGCCCTCCCATTTGAGATGTGGGATTTCCTGTTGAACCTGTTTGGAGAGCTGTGGTCCTCCTGGGGCAAGAGTAAGAAGCCGCTGTTCTGCAGGAGACTCACAGACTCCAAGAAGGGACTAGCGGTTACCAAAGGGAGGGATGTGGGAAGGTGGATAGGGAGGGAGGGAGAAAGGGATTGAGGGGTATTATGTTTAGTACACATGGTGTGGGGGGGGTCACGGGGAAGACAGTGTAGCACAGAGAAGGCATATAGTGGAACTGTGGCATCTTACTACACTGATGGACCATGAACTGCAATGGGATATGGGGGAGACTCGATAATATGGGTGAATGTAGTAACCACATTGTTTTTTCATGTGAAACCTTCATTAAAGTGTATATCAATAATATGTTACTTATAAAAAGAGAAAAGAAAAGGGAGAACTTGCTTCCTCTCTCTGGTCTCCACCATGTGCAAGTATAACGGGAAGACACCAGATCTGGAGGCCTCCAGAACTGTGAGAAATAAATGTTTGTTGTTTAAGCCAAAAAAAAGAAGGCACTGTTCCAAAAAACTGGATCTTTTGAGGCTCTGTTTCGGTCCTTCAATTATTTTCGCAACCAACCGGTGATGGTTCGCTGCTTCCCAGCCCCTGCTGACTCTTATCCAGGGTTATCCTGAAGTTCTGATGAAAAAATTCACCTTCTCTTTTGTCAAAATCAGAAGATTGGTCTCTCCATCTGGTTGGCTTTTTAGCTTGTTGAGAAATTCTAAATTGATCTAGTTTATCCATGATACCTCTCCTGGCTCTGCCACACTACTGAAGATTTAATTTGTATAGTTTTTGACGTGATATTTAGGGAGGGAAACATCTTTTCTCCTTCAGCCATTTTGTACCAGAATTCATTATTTCTCATGTTTCTGAACTCTTGGTAGTATAAATCCATGATGTCAGTCTGTAATTCTGAAATCCTGTTTTTATGAAATTTATTTGGTAACAAATTTGACTGACCTGAACTTATCTGGGAACAAAACCAGAGAGGATGTTTGTAATTTTAACCTTTTGCTCTTGCTGTGACTATTCATAAGTTTTGTTCAGATGTGGGATACCATTGGGGGAGGGTATTTATAATATTTGATACATCATCATAATACATTTCTAAAGAAAAATTTTTAATTCCAAAATCATCTAACCCAAATAAAAGATTGTATGCCTTTGTGCCATGTTGGATATAGGAGAGTTCACAGTGTAAATGAATTTTTGAAAGGGATTAGAGAGTTTTTGGTTACAATGGGACTCCGTTTATGTTTTATATTTGGGCTTATGGACACATGAATTTAGAATTGGAAAATACAGGTTGAAGAGAAAAGTAAGTGAAAATGAGAAGACATTCCTGTTGTAGAAACACGTGACTCCTAATGATGAGATCTTATCAGTTAGTCCTCAGTAAGTAAGCATTTACAAAAAAATACTTTATTTTTTCTAAAAATCCAGGGGCGGAAAGCTAAAATAGAGAGTCATCAGGAACCGTTTGCTCACTCAGCCCCAGAGAGCATACCTGATACTTTTGAAGATGCAGTAAATATACTCAAGCCTTCAGCTATAATTGGTAAGTAAAGTTGTTGGCATATCATTCTGTAACTTACCTATACGTTGCCAGTCATAACTACCACGCGGGATTACTAAAAAAACGAATTGACAGATTTTACCTAGCTTTCAGAATGTATGTTCCCTGTGATAGCCTTTTGGTTACAATATGTAAAGTTCAGTTAAAGCAGATGCTGCTTTTATTTTTAAGTGCTAGAAGCAGTACCATAGATCATGCTTTGCTTTTACAGTTGGTATGACTGTTGGGCTCAAAACCTGAAAAAGATCACAGTCATTTGACAGACTGTAACCAAGAAAATGCTATGCAGAGTCAAAGATTTTCATTGGCAACAAAGCAGAAAGCTCTTGGTGCGTTTTGAGGGTCAGACATTGCATAGCTGACATCAGAGTGTGCCAACATGGCATTACGTTCACAGCAGAAAATGTAAGTCTTTCAAATATGGAGCTATTTTCGTTTCCTCTGTAGCTATAAGATTTGAATCCATAATTTTTCCTGTAATTTTATCAATTTCACATAGGGACCCTATTGAATGTTAAAGAGTAAAATAGTAATAAACAGTTAAGTTTCTGTGGTCAGGAAAAGTATGTCTGTATTAGCTTTTTTACTGATTAAAACTCATGATTTTTTTAGAACAAGAAATCTTAAAGGTCATTTAGTCCATTTCTTTCAAAATTCAGTAAGGAAAACCTAAACATCTCTCCATTAATTCCATCTTTGGAGGGTCAAGGAAACAAAAAGATAATTCTTTAGAACTCATGTACTCATAAGAATATGTCCACTACCTCCACACAGAGAAACACTGAGTATAAATTGCTTTTTTATATAAGAAAACAACCAAAGAGATGTTAAGCAACTTGCCCAAAATACGTGACTATTTCTTATAGCCCAGAGTGACAGCAAGCACTACAGCTACAATCTCCAGATCAGTATTTTTCTTTATTACATATTGGAATTAAAAATTAATTACTTCAACTTTGAATATAAGCCTTCTTACTGAGTGAGGTGGATAAGTACTCAGCTGAGGTATCACTTGCTCATCCCCGAATTCCCCGCACGGGCTGTGTTCTTCCTTCATGCTGTGCTTCCGTAACTGCATCCTTAGCACTTGTTACAGGTTTGCTCATTTTCTGTTTACTTTGCTGTTTTTCTCTCAACTATAAGCTGTCTGCATTATACTCATTTTTATATCCTAAAAGCCTAATACAGTGAGACATTGTAGAGGCTTAATAAAAGGTCATTAAACGGAACTGTAACAAGAAAGTGGATGGCTTTAGTCAAGGTGGTCTTTTATCCCTTCTGAATTCCTATTATTTTGTAATGAGTGCCACAGAGATTAGCAATTTACATTTGAGATGCAAATGTCTGTCTTTTAAAAATGTTTAATGGCGGTGAAATATATATAACAAAATTTGCCACCATAACCATTTTTAAGTACAGTTAGGTAGTGTTAAGTACATACACATGGTGGTGCAACCAATGTCCAGAACTCTTTCACCTTGCAAAACTGAAATTCTATACCCCATTAAAGAACAGCTGCATTCCCCCTGCAGCTGGCAACCACCGTTCTCCTTTCTGTGTCTCAGAGATTGACTACTGTAGGTATCTCAAATAAATAGAATTAATACAGTACTTGTCACTCGTGACTAGCTGTTTTACTTAGCATAATGTCCTCAAACTTCACTCTAGTCATAGCAAGTTTCATCTTCTTAATTAGAGTAATGGAGATAGTCTTAAATTTTTTTTTTCCCCACAGTTTACTAAGCTTGGGTAGACAATATTTAAGTGAAAACTTCTGGCTTTTTATTGTTTTTCTTTTCAGATTGAGATTGGCATTATCTCAGCAATGCAGAATATATCTTTATAATGGGAGTTTGCATGTGCTTTTGTTATATTAAATGTATATAGAAATGCTGTCAATAAGAATTGCTTTATTTTACTTATAATGAAGTTGCTTTTTGTCCCCTGATTTATTACAGGAGTTGCAGGAGCGGGCCGACTTTTCACCTCTGATGTAATCAAAGCCATGGCTGATATCAATGAAAGGCCTATAATATTTGCATTAAGTAACCCTACAGCAAAGGCTGAGTGCACGGCTGAAGAAGCATATACACTTACAGAGGTAGTGATAATAACTATGAATTGGTTATGTCTACTGTACTCCCTCATTTTGCCTGTTATACATTCTGGCATAATTGTTTTCATGGTTACTCTGCAGATTGTAATGTGCACTCATGGACCATCATGGATCATCAAATTCTGATAGAAATTATTGCTTGTATCAGTTTGGACTACAGTTACCTTATATCTGCATTTTAATACCCTTATACCTTTTGTGCATTTTAATTCTCTACATTTTAAAGCCCAAAAGACATTACTGTTTTTTTAAATAAAAATACTCATTTAGATTTATGTATATTTTAATTGTAATATTTTTTTTGCCATTCCACCCTTCCTGCATGTCTGTGTTTCTGTCTAGGATCATTTTCCTTCTACCAGAAGAGCTTCCCTTAAGTGTAGGTCTGATGAATTCTCTTGATAATTCCTTTATTTTGCCGTCATTTTGAAGGGTATTTTCAATGGTACATAGAAGTAAAAATTGGTAGATACTTTGTTTCAGAAATTTGAAGATGTCCTGTTGTTCTCTTACTTCTGTTTTCCTTTTGATACATCATTTTATCTGGGGTTTTAGGTCCACTAGAGAGGACCTACATGTGGTTTTCTTTGTACTTATTCTACCTGGGGATTATAGAACTCCTGAATCTGTAGCTTGATGTCCTCTTTGTATGTGTGTCTGTGGCCTATTTTGTAAATATCTCTGATATGGCCACATTCTCTCTCTCCTCTTCTGGGACTCCAATTATGTGAATATCAGACTTTTTCACCACATTTCATGTATTTCATATCTGTTTTCTGTTTATACCATGCTGTTTGTTATCTGTTTCAACCTGGTGATTTTCTTTGGGTTTATCTTCCAGTATGCATTCTTCTTTTAGCTGTGTTTGTCTGTTGTTAAGTTCTTAATTTTATTTTCATTTGCAGAATTTCTTTGATTCTTTTTATAATTCACTAATTTAGTGACACAGACTTAAAGTCACATATTATAGAAATACTCACTTTATAAACAAATGCTGCTTTTTGCCCTCACATTTCATGAAATGATTCTTTTTACCCTCTTCAAATGTATCTTCACCATCAGTGTTTCTGTCTTCACCACCTTTATGAGGGCCATTGTTTGAGTCATATGTCAGCTGTTAGAAACAAATTTTTACTTTCATCCAAAGTGTTTAATATTTAATTCTTTTGAATTATTTGAACTGCCACTGCGTTATATCCTAATTACAGGTATCTGCTTACATACAATTAGGAAAGTTGTTTTTTTCCTACTGTTCTATAGGAATGTAATCACTTTCTGTATTGTTCTCATAAGTGATCCTTAAACAGCACTAGGAAGTATTTTTAAAGACTTGTTTGCAATAATATCCAGCAGTAATAGTTATTAGACCATGTGATTGAGAATAATAAATCTGTGGTAAATATTGTTGTCTCCACTAAGTTAAAAAAAAATTTTTGTTATGGTAAATTTCAAACATACAGAAGTAGAATAGTATAATTAACTCCCCCCTAGCTTCAAAAATGATCCACTCATCACCAACCTTGTTTCTTCCACATCTTACCCATACTAGATTATTTTGCAGCAGGTCTCAGACATTATCTCACTATAAATATTATAGTATATCTCTCAAAAACTAAAGATTCTTTTAAAAATACAACCACAGTATCGTTATCACACCTCACAGTTTTAGCAATTTTTAAATACTTATTTGATCTTTTTGTATAGCTTGCAGTTCTCTGCTAAAATTTTCTATCTTATCATTAAATTTCTCAGATATGTGACTCTTAATGTCTAATAGTAACAAATACCTCACTCTGTGAGTCCCTTTCTATTATCTGTCTTTCCTCTTGGTTTTCCAGTTGTTACTTTTTGTAAGCCTAGTTTTATTTTTACTTTTGTTTCCTTAGAAAAGGTACTAGAAGTTGTGGATGAAGAATTATATAGCAGTAATTTGATGTTCTTAGTGAAGTTATCTTCCTCCAGAGGTTCTCTGACTTTTCTTCTGGTGGCTATAGACTGGGGTAGCTCACCATAGCCTAATCAGGATGCAGTCCATGTGATGCTTAGTCTGTTTCCACAGTCAACCCTTTCTCCCAGTGTGTCCCCTTTTAGCCCTGGGGTATTCATCAGTGCCCCTCATCCCTAGTAGTCCCTGAATTTTTCTCTCTCTTTCATCATGAGACTCCTGCTGCTCAGGCTCTCGACCAAAGGTTTGCTTTTGAAATCAGCAGTCATTTTAAGGGGGATGCAGTCATCTTTTTTTCTCCTTGTTAAACATTTTATTTTGACAAATACTGAGCTGTCATATCTTGCTTTCCTCTTCTTTTGGATCTTGAATATCTCCCACCTTCAAGCTCTCACTATCTTGGTACCATTCCTGCTTCCTTAAAAAATATTTTTAATGTATTCAGTTTTTCTGATTGTTCCCAGAGGGTGAATTGGTATGAAACAACCTAGAAGACCATTGCCAAGAACTCTCTCAGAACTTTCTGAACTTACTAGTCATGCTCTTAATATACTTAGCATTCTTTTTTTCTCATTGTTAAATATTTTAGTTTGACACCTGTATTCTCCCAAAATTCCTTTTGCATCTATATTACCACTTTTTGTTAGTCAAAAATCTTTTTAAAAAATTATCCATGAAATCAGAATATAGATTTTTAAAAATTCATTCTCTTGAATATACTGTCTCTATCCTTGTATCAAAATGTGGTTACTTTTAACTTGATTGCTCATCCTATTCACCAATCTTTACCTAATGGTTATTATCGCCCAAATTAAATCTTAGTGTTATATAATGACTATTTGATAAATATACTCAGTGTATCATAGGCTTTGGCATTTCCAAAATAAAAAAATGTTTTGGAAAGTAGTTTATCTCTAGAAGACTGCTCAAAATTTAAGAATTCATTTTGTGAATAAATATTATTATAATAAATGTACATAATTGGAATGACTCCCCAGGGAGACTAGTTTGATATACTTATCTTTAAATCTGTTCACAATTTTTATAACTTTGAAATGGTATCTCTTTAAAGTGATTTTTAAAAGTCACAGTTTAATTTTACATAAAGCCTTTCTTACTGTTATGTAAAATAATGACATAAATTTATATATTTGCAGTCACCCCTTAAATTTTTATTCTCCTTTTGCTTCCAGGGGAGCGAAGACTAGGTGTTACTCTAACACCCTCTGCTGCTTAGTGAGAAAAATACTTTTTTTTTTAACCTTTTCATATTTTAATGGCCCATTGGTCATAGAACAAGAATAGACCAACCTGGACTTCAGGAGAATACTGTCATTTTTAAGGTCTGGCCATACTTAAGCTATACGTTGATTATGAAAGAAAAAAATAATAATGGCCTAGAAAAGATTAACTGCTATAGAATCTTGCCTTTGAAGAGTAGATGCTCAAGGTCTTTCTAAATCTCCAGATTTACTCATATCATCAAGACATATTTTTACCATAAAAAGCTATATTGTATAATCCAGTATATAAAGCTACTGAAGTTAATGGTGCCAGAAAAATAATCTATATTATCTTGCACATTGTTATTATGGTAACCTGTATGACAGTAACCATGAATTGACCTTAACCTTCAAAGAAACACATTTTCTTTTTGTCAGAAGTAGAGCTGCACGGGTAGAGCATGATAAGAGCTATCTGTAGAAAATGATAAAGCTGTCTGGGGTCATGGGACCAAGACAGCCATCTGGGCCCACCACTAGCATAGTTGACTTGTTTCTGCACTGTAAAGCTTGTATCACTTTGAAATGAAAAGTTTGTCTTGTAGAAGTAATAATTGTTATACGTTGTAGTCCTTCAGATTGTTCTAAAGGGTCAAATTCTTGAGTATTAAATCTACTAATGCCAAAGGTCTACTATACTTGGAAGAAGAATTACTCATATGCTGTAATACACATTTGTAGGTCTAGGGAAGAGAAGACCAAAAGCATTGTTTAAATACTTACAGGAACTCTCAGTGTTCACATGTCATGTCAGTTTGTCTAGCCTATCGTTTAGAGGGAGTTCATTTTTCTATAAATCACCGTTTCACTTAATCTAAGGAGTGTTTATATGTGACTGACTTTAGTTACATCTCAAGTACTGCAGAACTAGTTTTACTGCTTGAGAACTATGGTTTTCTTGCTCTGTCTTTTCAGCTGGGGATGGGTGAAATGGATGGGATTTGTTGAGGGAAAATGATACATAAAGGATCTGTATATTAACTTTCAGGTACTTTTCAATTTCATGGGCATCTGATTCTCTTAGAAGTACTGAATGTGCTAATAACAGGATACATATGCCGTTATAGAGCTCAGTACTAAAATTGATGGATACAACAAATTTAGAGACTTATTTTTCTTTTTTTTCTTTTTTTTTTTGGTATCATTAATCTAAATTACATGAAGAATATTATATTTACTAGGCTTCCCCCTTCACCAAGTCCCCCACCACATACCCCTTCACAGTCACTGTCCATCAGGGTAGTAAGATACTGTAAAATCACTACTTGTCTTCTCTGTGTTGCACAGCCCTCCCTGTGCCCGTCCCCGCACTATACATGCTAATTGTAATGCCCCCTTTCTTTTTCCCCACCCTTCTCCCTCCCTTCCCACCCATCATCCCCAGTCCCTTTCCCTTTGATAACTATTAGTCCATTCTTGGGTTCTGTGCTTCTGCTGCTGTTTTGTTCCTTCAGTTTTCCTTTGTTCTTATACTCCACATATGAGTGAAATCATTTGGTACTTGTCTTTCTCCGCCTGGCTTATTTCACTGAGCATAATACCCTCTAGCTCCATCCACGTTGTTGCAAATGGTAGGATCTGTTTTTTTCTTATGACTGAGTAATATTCCATTGTGAATATATACCACATCTTCTTTATCCATTCATCTACTGATGGACACTTAGGTAGCTCCCATATCTTGGCTATTGTAAATAGTGCAGCAATAAACATAGGGGTGCATCTGTCTTTTTCAAACTGGAGTGCTGCATTCTTAGGGT